CASTTATTTCAAAAAATGTGAATTGACCTACCCTGGTGCCTGTTCATCAAGTGGTTGAAATGATAAAGTAATGCTGATGGCGGGAACATTCCTTGTGACTTTTAGCCTAAAAACCACAAGAAGAGAATTAATGTAAAACCTATTTCCCATTCAAAAAGAAAAAACTCTTAATTTGATTAACAACAAAAATTAGCATGTATTACAAAATGGATGGAATTTTGAAATTCACAGATCAGTGTACATCTTCCAGCAGGGAGTACATGGCACAACGATAATCACAGATACAAAACAGAAAATAGACATTTATATCAAGRTGTATAAGCTCTCAGATGAAGGTGTGCAACCATCGCGCCCACACTAAAATAATGTATGTTGATCCACTATTGAATTAATTTGACTTACTGATCTAGACCTTCCTCTTTTGGCTCCCAAATGTCCTCATTCCTAAAAAATAAAAAGCATTCCATTATCGTCCAAGTAAGCATTTCTATTGAAGAAATCAAAATAAGTTTTGGTTGCTACAGCTGCCTGCGTAGCCAGGCATTTCCAGGGCTTCTCTGGACAAATATCCTTCGGAGCAGTTAGAAACAACTGGGTACGCAGTCTATTGTCACAGGGATTTCCTGCAATAAGTTGCCACTAGCAATGTGTTATAAAATAAAACTTGAGAATGAAAACCCAAAAGCTATTTTACTGTACGATGAAGTAAAGGTTCATTAAACATTTTACTGTACATTAAAGTACTTACTTTGTATAAAATAGATTATTTTGCTGATGAAGACCCTGAAATAAAAAGACACATTTAACTTTGACAAGTGTGAGGTACAAGATCTTTCACAGTGATTTATATTCATAATAGGGGTATCAATGTCCTAGTGAAATCATACAACAGTCTTTCTTGTCTTGTTCTGTCTTGTTCTGTGTGCTAGTTTAGTTTCCTATGCAGTCATTTCTTTTGTTGGGCTCCCTGTCCCAAAACAAATGGACATGTAACCCAACAAAAGAAATGGAAATTGTTTGCCTGTGTACTGGCCTATTTCCTTCCAGTCTGTATTCCTGTCTAATGAATTACTATTTTCTATTAACTACTACAATTTTTTTCTTTCTTCAACAGAATCGAAACTACCTTGATTTTCCTCTTGACAATTTCTGCTGTAGTAATYGCTTTGGTAACTGTCGGGCCACTTCCAGTGATGACAACCTTATCTTTGGTAGACTGAAAGTCAATAAACAAGACTGGTCTGTAGCATTTCGCTTATAACCATTAAGCTTTTTAAGTAAGCTTAATTCTGAAGCTAAAGAAAAAGTATTATTATGATATACATTTAATATATCCATTGCTTTATATCAGAACTTTTTATTTTGGCATTGACATATTATATACCTGTAATGATTTCAAGGTTTGTGAAATGCAAGCCCGAATTTTCTTCCCACTTTTGATGTTTACTTCCAACGGATCTTTCGTCTCAGAAACCGCAGAACTGCTAGAGCTTTTGGTGTAAAACTCCATCATATGCCGTGATAGTGTTATCTATCTTTTATCTAATTATTGAAAGTGCACGTCATGCTACATGATCGATTTGTCTTTGCTTTTTCGTCTTCCTCCGATGCCTGCCGCCATATTGACCAGCTGTTCAGCATGCGGGCTCAGAAATAGCACTTCCACAGGGAGCCCAATTGCAAACGTGAAGACGCATTTCGATTCAAGCAGAGTTTTCTCTATTCAATAATGACAGATACTGACAAGAAGAATCGTTCACATTATATTGTCACCTTATTTAAGCCTCTGTGTTAATGAATTGTCTAGAGGAAGTGACATCTGATGTCATATCGATGGGGTACCTGTGGTGTGTCAAGGAATGCCTGCTTGTATTTGCAAACTTCCTGGTCGTGTTTCAACTTGTGAAATGATTTAKAAAGGCGTATCAGGAAATCATCATGGCTTTGAGCTGTGGCAATGTAGTACCTCTTCAAGATCTTTGTCTTCTAACAGTCAGCAGTTATCTCTCTCCATGTACTTTCTGGTCCATTTACAAACTTGTACCTTACGTACACTGTCCAAGAATCGAGAAMATCGTTCACTCGTTCATTTGTGACAATTTCATGGACCTTTCACACACTGATGAGTTCTTGGCTTTGGATAAGAAAGGAATGCAACGGCTACTCGACAACCAAGATATCAACGTATCAGAAGCAGCTATGTTAGAYAGCTTAGCCCGATGGTATAARCATAGTGAAAAGAAACGAGAGAAAGCTTTCAAAAACTTGTTYGACAAGCTACACTTGAGAGTTATMCGGAGGGACGTGCTATCTGAATTGATCAAGAAATATCAGTTGGTGAAAACTATTCCTGAACTGCGTAAATACAAGAGGCTGTCTTCTCAACGTGTGAATCTGGATAACTTGATTTTTGAGGAGAACATTTCCAACATTGCTGTTCTTGGGCAGACTCCACCRTTCAGCCTATTTCTCGATCCAAGTGAAGATAGACTTCACTACTGGATGCCAATGACCTCAAAATTACTTGTAACTGAATGTCCTGCTTTGACTTTCCTAGATTCCCTTGAAGACTGCTTTTACACAAAGGTTGTACATGAGTGCAAAGTGCCCCGTGRCAACAGTGAACTGTTCGTTTTAGGAATGGCACTGACTTGTGCAGAGAATCATTTCCATCAAACTACATCATTCAATCTTCGATTTGATCTGATCTCAAAGACCTTCAAAGTCTGCACCCCATTTTGTGATAGCAATGCACTATGTGATTATATTTCTGTTTCTTGTGGCCATTTCATATTTTTCATCAAGGGGTTAGCTTGGGCACTGGGTAGTCCTGAAGAGYCATTGAWWACACACAATGTACATCGCTATGATACAGATAAAGATCAATGGCAAGAAGTACAACCAGCTATCATGCCTTATTCATCTGAAACAGATTGTGTTGTGTCTTTTAAGAACAGATATGTGTATTTATTTGGTAAACACWCTAGCGAGATGTATGACTTGGCAACAAACACGTGGACACCATTGGACATCCCTTGGCAAGGGAGAGGTGAAAATGTGCAYCTTCTATATRCAGCCACTCTTGGCAACCAAATCTATGTGTGGTTGAAAGTTAGGAATTATTTAGTTTTTGCTTACAASCCAGCTTCAAAAACCTGGCAGTCACACGAGGAGCAATGTTATTCCTCCAGTATAAGGGAAAYCTTCTTTGGAGAAATTTTCTCTCTCCATTTTATCAAAGGAAGACCAAAATTARCTRTTATGAACAATGATATGGTGGAAGAGAAGAGAGTGTTTTCCATCAAGAAAAATTCCATTCAAMATATGGACTATCATCACATGACTCTTCTCAGCAGAGGTGCACGAATAGCCWTAGAACAAGACAAGACTGTCCAAAATCTAAAAAAATAGTTGAAAAAAGGCAATGATTTAAATTTTCCTGCTACTTTTAATCATCCCTGTACATTATATTTGCTACAAACTAGAATTGAAACAGTGATTGGAAAATAAGGAGTGTATATATTGAAGATGTGAATAACATCATAAATATAGTACTGTAAATTCTTAATTTGTATAATCACAGGTATATATGAACACATTGAATGTGCATGAAAAAGAGCTTCCAGATAATTAAAAATTTCAGAATTTATATTTCTGTTTATATATTTAATTCTTTACATTACTATAATAGTAATTTTGCCTATGAAAAAAGAAAACATATGTAACAGCTGCATTGAACAGTCTTGAATAAGATAGGCTGTTACACCAGTCCACTTTTAAGGTAGTCCAAAAGGGATTTTAATTTAAAAATTACCTAACAATTTCTACTTTATTCAATGTTATTAAATCAGTGTTTATTGATGGCTATTTTTAGTCACCAGCAATTGTATATCCACGAGTTACTGGTAAATGAGGAGGAGACGAATATTTTCGGCTCGAAGCAGTACTGTGGTGCTTTTTGAGYTTGGGTGAGGAATTTTTATCTGAAGTTTGTATACCCAACCACGCCTCGCTCAGTTCTTTATCTTGTTGAAAAGCTTTTTCCAAATCGAATGTCKCCATGTCATTTTCACTTGCACTTCTCTGTTTCTTTGACCTCCAAGAACCGAGTCTTCGTCGTACACCTTTTGCCTTTGTCTTCTGTTTGCTGTGCATCTCGTCAAAAACTTCCTTCTCGTACTCCTCATCTGATGAAGTCTTAGGAATATTGCATTTCAGGGTTTTAACCGTGTTTACTACAGTCAACAGCTTTGGTTTGCCTTTTTTAACATCACTCGACTCGACGTTTTCTGCTGGAAGGACGTGCGCCTCTGTTTTTACGACGTTCTTCGATTCATCTTCAGAATAAAATGGATCTTCATCATGACCTGAGGTCAACGAGGGGTCCGGTGATGGTGGCTGTAAGTTCTGCTGGTTTTGTCTTCCTRGGACATCAAGAGAGACGGTTGGTGTGGCTTTCTTTTTTGAGCTTGTTACTCCAAATACTCGACGCTTCTTTAGAATTTTCTTCCACCCTTGGAGARAGAGAAAGAAGAAATGTTAAAGAGTTTGCGACCATTTGATGGGATTTACCAGTATGAATACAGTACCTGCAGACTTCATGTCATCCTGATTAAGATCCTCTGGGCTCACATGCTCTAAAAAATGTTCAATATAACTTATAGACCACTGCTGTACATGAGATAAGAACGCGAGGTGACTATGTCATTTTACCTGGTCCGTCTTCCAAAATGTTGTTATTCAATTCAAGCTGACGGCACTCCTTCAAAGTAAATCAAAAGAAGCTCAAACTACGATTTCCAAACACATAGCCATATACCTTAGTCGTGCTAATATTTGCTAGTCTATAATTTCGCGATTTTTAAAAGTACCGCAAAAACTGCTACAAAAAAGGTAACTGTTATGCATAGCAAGCCAACTGACTAACCTCTGGAGGAATGAATTTAAAACTCAACTGAATTTCTCCACTTTTTGCGTTGCTRAGTGGTACCCAATGTTTCTGATGCGGATCCTAATGAAATGAATATATTAAAGACAATTTTATGAAAGTTTGAATGAAATGATCAATGGAGAGCATTGTGCATATTTAATAGCGATAATTAACAATGTTCACTAATAACGCCTCATCTGTTGAAAAAGACTTTAATTGCAAACCTTGAYATCTGATATTGACGGTCTGGGTGATAAGATTCTCATGAATATTCAACACCCACAATACCTTTCTGTCGTGCGTTTCTCATTCTCTTCAAAAACATTTTATTTGAAATCGATGCATAGGTTGCATACCTTAGTCATATCTCGCAGCGTAGATGTCTTGAATACTACACTCCCCATCTTTTCTTGTGACAGAGCGTCTTTATCCCATGCATCCTAAACATGCGCAGTGTGAGCTTTCATTGTTCTCAAAGTCATGAATATTCATTAGCACTATGACGTACCAGTATKAGGTGTTCTCCGTCACCAGGCATTGCTATGGTTACTGTCTCATTCCATACAGGATTCAAAGTCTTTTGAACGACTTTACTGCGGAATTTCTCAGCGCTCTCATCAGTCCTCAGTGTAACGAAAGGATCACTTTTACCTAMGAAGGGATTGTTAAAACGAGATGTATTCAAAAATCTTTTTTAGCTCATGTTATAGAAATGAGATTACCTGTGAAATCCATTGCCACCAAGTTACGACCTCTATGAACGGTGACCGTGAGACCACCTCGTTCTACCAAGAGAATCAAGACGSCATGTCAGATATAGTTAATCAAACAGAAAACTTTCTTAGTGATTTACAATACTATTTGTTTATAACTATATTAGTACCTGCCATTAGAAGTGATTCCATCAACTTRGGATCATCCTTCTGGAACTAAACATCAAGCTAATAAGTTTTATCATTTGACTATACTAGTTCACTAGCTAATGTTGAATGTCTTGAATTGATTTCTTCAGTCAGTAGACTGACATTTATGTACCCATTATTCGGTCTGCCTGCCAAACGACTGACTTGATTGATGTTTTACCTGGTCAACTGGCTCTCCTTCTGGAAATCCTCCAGGAAGTTCCGGTTTCCCTAAACAGTAAAATACTGATCATTTAGYTACAAAATTTGCCCTGAATTTCGAAAAAAAGAAAGATTCTAGTAGTAGTGTAATGACTACTCTGCGAACAGAGGTTCTTTTCTCACCCGCCGAGAAGCGGGTGAGAAAAGAAACTCTGTTCACAGAGTATGTAATGACAAAAGCTTGCAAAAGTTAGCACGGAAGAACAGATATGGAAGTCATTCAGGTGCGCAGAGAAATTAATTAAGAAGACAAAGAAGAATGATGCTCATTCTTAGAAAATTACTCTGAAAGCAGCGACGGAGCGATCGCACTGGTATGTGKACAACTTAGCCCAGTGTTAGTTYGAAAAGATGAATCCGGTTAAGAACTTTATTGGTCTTTATTCACGAAACTAAACCAACAATAGATCTAACGCAATGTTGCTTATACGTACATGATTTACGAACGGACTCAATCGACCTAAAAACCACGGATACACAGAGTTTTCCAGACGACTTCATCACCGAGCTCTTCAATTTGTAAAGAAGATGAAGTTCTTTGCGAAGAATAACTGGCGTATCCTGAAATGAATCGAGATATAGAGGTGATATTTTTTCAATAAGTTTTACCAAAGATTCAAGCTTTTAAAATTACCAAAAGAGAATGAAAAGTTATTTCATTTCATATACCTGTAACGATGATATTATGACGCAACAGTTGACACGCGTTTGTCATTACGATTATGATAGTGATTGTGTTTCTGATAGCGTTTGCGATTGTGAATGCGATTACGTGCAAAAGGATATTAGACTATTGTACATAGACCTACAAACTGTTCATTATGATTTTGCAAGTTTTTACCTTAGACAACTTCAGATTACAAGAACCTAGAAAATCGTCGCTGCTGTCTCGTAAAGACTCATCTTTGTCGAGAACCACAAATGACAGGGTCATCTGTAAAGATTCCATTAAATCCATAAGTCGAAGAAAGGGAATGGAGTACGTTACAACGTGATTTTAAGAAGAAATTTCTTGTTTTAATGCATGTAATTTGTTGGATGCGCAATCACTTTACCTGATTGATGTTGGCAACAGTAAACTCCGTAAAAGCGTCCCACACAGGATCTAACGATTCCTTGATCACATTTGTTTTATGGATCTTAAACAACAGAGTATAATAACGTTATATGTTATTTTAGTTAAATAAGCATAATGCACATTGCTTTTCARCAGATAATTTTTTTSCAAGCATCAAATTAGACGTAAAAGATCACCTAAGTACTTACAGTATTACGATTAGCGTAAAGCACACAATAAGGATCACTTAACCCATTTTTATCCATGGGAATCAAGCTTTCTCCACTGTGAATGGCTACTAAAACTACACCTGAAACTGAAATAAACGAATATCGCATTCTATAAAAGTATAATAACAATAATAATAAATCGATTAGACTCAGCTGTAAGAGAATCAAATTTCTAAGTACAAGGAACACGGACTTAAAAAGGGTACTGGTTCTTAACCAATCAGGGCACGCGTCATACTATTGAAGTCGTGCCATGGTATTCTAGTTTGAGAGGGGTTTTTCAGTCTACCTTCTTCTAGTTSAGGCTTTGTTTTGTCAGTAATATTCTTGATCCATTCTTCACTTTCCTGCTGGGAGTTCAGTTCATCATTTTTAGGGATACAAACCAAAGGTAAAACTGAGTACTCCATCTGTACTACGAGACTGCTTCCTTTGSCGTTCTCCTTCTCGAATACCTTTTCTCTAAAAAAAGAGTTTTAAAGTAAGCTGAGTYGACGGACTCTAGTCATTCTTACACACAAGACTCACACTTACARAGTAGGAGTGGTATCTAGATACAATCTCGCCAATGGCATTTCATATTGTGCTACAGTATACTTGGTTCCAAGCTTTCTYTTTCCTCTGATCTTTATCGTCAACTAAAGAAAAAAACAAACAACTTAATTACATACTAGTTATAACAGAATTAATATCCCGAGTCTCTCTCGTTGCATTTAGGGTGCCAAAAGAACCACCACATGTTTAAGGGATAGAAGAAATTGACTGGAAGTGGTTTTGACTTACTCTGTCATAGTGGAGATTGTATACCAACAAGGACACGTGATCTGTCCATGGATTGTCTGACGTCACATCTTTTGTGTGGATCTTCTGCTGGCCGAGGGAGACCACACACCAGTAAGGATCGTCTAAGAAAAACATGACGTTAGTTTCTATATATCTCGAAATCTTTGCTTTGAGTCAGCTGAATTAGAATTTTAACTTAAGTGTGATAAGGTCAATAGTTTTCATAGCGCGCGCTCACCCACAGTTTTGTTTTCAGTTAAGTTTCTTAGCGCGAGCTTTCTCGCRAATTATTTTATCACGTCTTTTGAAGAAGTCAACAGTTTTGAAGCAGTTTTCAGAAGACAAAGTACAACCTTACAGCTCAAGTTTTAATCTTAATCAACATTCGGTTTTTATTGGGAATTGGTACGTACAAGTTACCTTATATAATAAGTAGTTACGTTCATTGTTGTTGTTGTATTTTTCGCAAGAAAAATGTATGTTTACTCGTGTTAAGCAAGCTGAAGATTTCTTGTTTAGCTTTAGGCAACCGTTATCAATTCAGTTGGATACAAGTTAATTTACTCCTATAGTAAATTAGTCTAGGATTTGTATAAGTTAGGTAGTGAGATTTAGCGGCAACGCTAAATGCGATCGGTACTAGTTCAGTTAGATTACATAGCGACCTGAAGTCTAGTATATACATAGGATAACTTAGAGGAGAAATCCTAGAAAGACTTGTTATCAGTAGAGTAAAATTAATGCTATGATTACTTGTTATAGTTCTCGCCGTTTGTTGGCCACTTGTTGTACATAAATAAAAGAATCAATACACAAATACTTGACGTGGTAGTCCACTTAGTCACATAAGAATGTTTCAATTTTAAACAATTTCACGTTTTGCGTCGTTCTTCGTTTGAATTGAAAGGAAAAGAGCCTTGAAACGAGGTTGAAATATGACGTCATGTTGGTGAAGAACCTCCGAGTACGGTTGTTATAGTTACCTGTGGGACGACCATGGGAKCCTCCATTGATAGCGAGAGACAGCACACCACATGCTGGTGAAAAATCACAATATTGATTATTTGAAGGGAAAGATTGATAATGTACAATTTTGACMTACCGAATTCCTCTCCTCTTGCTAACTCTTCTGGGTCCTCGCACAAGGGAATATAAATCCTATCGGGGTCTACCAACGCTAAATAAGGGAAAACAATTTTGAGCAATGTGCAAAATTGAAAAACATCATGATATTTATCAATGAATATTTACATAATTTGAGAAGATCGTTGACTGTTTGATTCAGCCATTGTCTAAGAAGTGGTACATCCATGAGTTGCACGGCTTTGAGCATTCTGATATCAAACGCTACCTGAGGCCTGCAAACACATATAACCATGTTAGTCTACAAATCAACCCATTTATCGGCATTAAATCATTCCTATATTCAACTAATCGATCAATAAACCTGTCAATCAATCATTGAAAGGATCAATCTCGTTCCCAGGTTCTTTTCTTTTTTAGTGGGGCTCGAAGATCAATACGACATGATAAATAATAATAAAAATAAAGTCTTTTGTTTTGAGAGGGTAGCACGTAATAGTCCTTAGACTAATAAACTTGTGGCCCTCTATATATTCACTCATACTCACTACCTCAACATTCATTATTTTACTACACGACACTCCTCACAGCTAGTTTTTGACTGAGGGAGGAAAACCAGCGGACCTGGAGAAAAACCCTCGGAGCAAGGAAGAGAACCAGCCTACAAACTCAAATCACATATAGTCCCGGACCGGGAATCGAACCAGGACCACAGCGGTGATAGACCGGCGTTTTAACCGCTCGGCCATCCTTGCTCCCCACATGAATCTCTATAACTTATTCGGTTGCGGATTGGCGGGAAACTTTGCTACCAGACAAAAACGCGCTACTTACTCTTCAAGAAAGCAAAAAGACAAAGAAGCCAGGTGCGGAAAAGGGATGTTTCGATTAAACTGAAGAACAAGCTGCATTCTGCCACTGATGTGGAAATCCTCCACTGCAATTTCTGTCTCTGTTCCAAGAAGTCTAAAATAGAAAATTGAGATAATGTAATCTTTGAAAAGATCTTAACCACCGTTAATTGTACAGGGCGTCGCAACTACAGACAATTCTAGAGAGACGACCGATGCTGTCATGTTGTCGTTCTTGTCGATGGTGATGATGATGATGATGATGATGATGATAATTATGATGATGGAAAAACCAAACCTTACCCCTTATTCCCAAGTCTAACACGTATAACAAATCTAGCATCAGGTGACGCAAGTCCGATATCAAGGTCTAACACCGCTCTGTAGAGAGGCCTTGTTACAAGTTCTTCTGGAGGTTGTCTCATGCTGAAGGCCGTGGCGCGTAGTTTATGGAGGTCTTCAAAATTGTCATAGGCTGTTACGTGTTGTATATAGGGTGTCCGCGTTCCAAGAGTAAAATCACTAACCTCTATACCACCTGTATTATAAATCAGAATACAGTACACCTTACGGTCATCATCACGAACACGGAGAACTATTCTTCTCTACAAAGTAATCACTGAAATTAGCTCTRCTTATATTAACTATGCTGATACTGAACACACGCTTTTGTTATTCGAGACTATGTCCCATTAAGCACAATARAGAATATATTTCTGTGAAAGTATTGGCGATAAAAAATAAATCATCCGGGAAGTTGCGACGAGAACACGAATAAAGGCTGATAAAGTCGTAGAAGAACTCTAGCCGTCTTTGCTTTATTTTCACTACTATGATTTGGCAATGCGCGCGATGTGCAGCGATATCCTTTTAYAAAACATTACGTAGCTTGGGTATCAGGCTCTCTCGGTGGCAAATGGGGATGAGGAGTGAAACCTAGACACTACGTGGATGGTCTTTGGTCTTCATTTTTTTCCAAAAAAAAAAAACAACAACATAAAAAACACCATTAAAAAAAACCATAAAAAATGCATCATGACTGTCACTCTTTTTTACTCAAGAAAATTGTGACGCTGTGCGTCGTCCATTGTGTTGAAAGCGTTGGATCCGCAATAAAAATAACCATTTGACATCACAGCTTTTTACGAGACAGTCTTTTGACATTTTTTTATTACTTTACGATGTAATACAGCTCTTATGTCAGCTCTAATACACAAATTTCACCATTAACCGCAGTACATTACAAAGAGAGTRTTATATGCCTTACCAATGAATGGGGGAAGACAGGACTCAAGTAGAGGATCCAGACTGTTTTTAATCAATAATAAAAGAGATTCATCGCTGAACACAATCCTGTAAYGAAAAAGCCATCACGACAGCTGCAAACTGAATTTGAAAGCACAAAAAAATGACAAACATAAGATGGCAGAATTATGAAAAAAAATCATAGGAAAAAAATTAAAAGGAAAAGAAAAACGAAACAAAAAAACAATAAGCTAAACGTCAAAAGAAATCATAGTCAAAATAGAATTCACGAAGCATTTTTCAAGAAAACTAAGCCTTTATGAAAAGCAATACTGCTGTACAACTTGGATTCGAACAAAGGTAAAAAGATTATAAAAACTGAGGTATGAAAGAATATATTATTTATCAACACTAAAACAAGATCAAAAACGATGACCAAATTAAAATCACTGTTTAATGCATTTTCAGAGAGTGMATGATATTTTATTCATGGCTTTCAAGTATTGCAAGATGTTATTTAAAGAACGCTAGTCCATAACACTGTTACCACTTTACTTACAAATGGAATATGGTTTAGCGGAAAATTAATCCACCCAAACATTAACTATCAACACCTCTTGAAAGTWTATTAAGGGAGCTCGTGTTGACTCATGTATAACTTTAGAGATTTACTGAACTGTTTAGATTAATGATATATACGAACCGAACAATTTCTTACCATCTGTTTATTATGAAGTTCAGCCACTCGACCGTTTCCGAGTTTTTGAATGCTTTCTCTCGTCGAGCATCAAGGTCGGCATCTTTGCAAACAAGTTCCAGCAGCCAGGAAATTTTGCACTTCCACCAAAGCAAAACAAAAATGATTAAWGCTAAAAGCCAGTAGATGTTGAAACCCAAACGACCCAATAACCAAGCAAAGAAAATAAAGAAACCGAGTGTGAATATAACTCGGTTGTATTGTGCGTTTCTGGCAGCTTTGCCATCATCTAGAACACTTGACWTGGATTCTTGGTTTCCATTTTGGGTTTTTGACAAGTCCTCATTTTTCTTCTCCATAGACATGTTTATATGATGCAAATGGGATTCATTTACAAAATATACTGTATAAACCACTTAATTTCAAGCAGTTHTTGATTCATGAGAGAGATTAAAAGCAAGGTTGTTCCGGAGCTATGCTTTGAAGGATTACATAAAATCATTGTTTTGGCTTAAATGTATTGTTTAAAGTGAGTACGTTTAGCCCTCGCATGAATGATAATTTATAATTTTGATTGTTCTAGGGTCATGAATGATTTAAATGTCGGCCAAGTGTTGCAGGGCTTATCAGATCCGATCTCAATACTCGACAACAACCATGTCCAACTTCTGTATTTTTAATTATATATTATGATCAGATTCTTAATCTAGATTCTATCAAGATTTTCTTTAATTCTGGACACGTCTCTGTTTTTCACTATCTGGTCGAAAATCTTTAATTATACTGCGTTTTCCTGGGGAAAATCATCTTGTAAGACAAAGTATAATAGTTCTCCCTGTCACTGGGTATGAACAGAATAAATTGACAATCTTTAAACCCAAAAACGTTTGCTTATTTTTTAAACACCTTTTCTTGGAAATCGTTCATTCATCACTATGCTTGAAAAAATGCATCCCCCTAAATGAGGCCGCATAACATTATACATCGCATTCAATGGCGGTTTTTGAAMCCAACTCCTTAAGCATCGAATTTTTTTTCTTTAATTTTATAATTTTCTTTTCCGACGCAGACCACTAAATTGCCCACGACATGTGCTACTAGTCGTAAAGCTTCCTCGCTTTGACCTTGTGACTAAAACACAGCGAGACAGCGAGATGGTAGGAGGAGCAGACAGATTTGGGTGCCGCCATATTTGATGACGTCATGATTCCAAGATGGCCGCGGCCCACAGGGACTATAACAGACGCAGTCAGTTATGCTTTATAATAAAATGTCTTTATTAAAAACCTCTTGTAAAATTATAAATTAATCTGATAACAGTGGCCTATATAAATAGTTTATCTTACATACGAACGGTTTTTGATTTTATCATGTTGGATATTACTTAAATATTATGGGTCAATATCAATATATTAGTGGATGGATAGAGAGAGATATTCTATAATATMATAGTTTGATACAAACTAAATCAATACAATAATAAACTACGTCAGTTTTCAACGATATTTTGAGTTGCGGCGAGTTTCAATAGATAAAATGTACGGCCAAWWTTTCAATTTTAAAAACTAACTATTTTAAGTGTCATCAACTTATTATTGATGAATTATCACTRTGCATGCCCTCGGCACCATCGGCATTACATGAATTRTGCGTATGCCGGCTTTTRCAGGAAGTCACTGATCTTGAAGACTCGCCGGTTAGCTTGCAGTTGATGCCAGTTGATCCTGCACCACAATCACAAAAAAACCTGMAAAAAAGATTGCAGAATATTCATAAACCTACACAATAACTATGCTTTGGCACATTGTTGATATATCGTGCTAGTGTTGTGAGAGTCTCCTTACCTATCGTGTCTAACGAAGCTGATGTTGTGTCCTCGGTGACATTTATTTACACAGCTAATACAAATAGCAAAGCCATCAGTCGTACCACACGTGTTGCATCTGAATTCCAAAAAAAATATTTAGTTTTAAACCATGTGTGTATCTCATTTCCAATAGAGCTATTTCAAAACAGGTTGCGAGGCTTCCARAAATAATGAAATATAACGACAGCTGTCGAATGTAGGATGCACACAAACAAATTATATAACATCATTCGAGGAGTTCGATAACCCATCAACTTCAAAAAGCCAGAAAAGTAAGGGTTTTTGCCAAACTTCAAAAACTCGCAAACCAAATTCTAATGTCGAAAAGTTTGCCATTCAACTGTTTTATTTGCAAAGAGTAAAATATTAAGAAGAGGAATCTTACTTGTAGAAGTCGTGCATTGGATAACAAGAATTCCCTGATACTTGAAACAGACACAATCCACCATCGACAGCGTGCTCTACTTCGCCTTTGTTACTGTACACTTTGTTATCTGAAAAAATATATACTTTATTAAAACACGGGGAACTAAATTATRATTGAGACAGTGTTAGTAGCTTCGTACATATTACTTGGGCTTGTGAAGAAAGGATAAAGATTGCCATTGAGGAGGATGTTTATCATTCTCTTGCTAATAATCGAGTTTTAGMTCAATGGAAATATTTTCAAAGGAAAAAGTCATATCAAACGTGGTGAATTCACTTACTTTTTAATTTTGGTTTGACGCCAGTAGCTAGACAGATGCCATCAAAGCGGTTATTGAATACTTCGTTATCTTCTAATAGGCCTCCTGAATAGAGCATGACGATGAAATTAGTATAGAGGGGAAATGTACTACTGTAATATTATTACTAGTACTGTTATGTTAGTCTTCTTAGAAGAATGTTATGGAAAAAAATAGACTATGATAAGGATATGACCAAACTCGCGCGCTGATTGGCTACACAAATACTAGGATATCAGCTTAGAATGTCATATKAATAGAAATGGCGACTAGATATTTGGATTTGGACATTATTGTAACAGCTTGAAAATATCTATGAAATTCTCAAAATTAATGTTACGATTCGATTTCGTGGAATAGCCTAAATGCTAATAGAGAAGATAACTGGGGTTATTGAACTAATCTGTGTTTCTAATGAAAAAAAGACGGCGCTACTGCCGATTAAGGGACGCCAGGATGTCAGTTCAAAGATATCCGGGTTTAATTTACCTGCGTTGTTGGTGATTTCTATTCCCGCGGCTCCACCATCATAAATCCTGTTGTTTTTCAATACAGGGAAGCTCGATGTACTAATTAAGACTCCTTAATAAAGAAAAGAAACGATCTTCAAATAGGAACAACACGGGACACTAAAAAATGTAGCGATAAAATCAACTATTTGTAGCAATGAATAGCGCGATTCCGTTTTCAATTTACCTGTTAGAGTATTTCTGAAGATTTCGTTTTCTTCTAGAACACCTTAGGAACAAGAAGTATTGGTCAATTTGCGCAGCGAAAAAAAGAGAGTAACTATTTGGTATAAGTCTGAACAATAACAATAACAATAACAATAATAATAATCTTCATCATGATAATTATAATAAAGTAAGAAGGCTGAGTGAATATGTACCTTTTCCACCATTGAAAATACATATGCCTCCTTCTCGACCATCGTGGATTTTATTTTTTCGTAAGACGGGATTGCTGTCRGTCTTGATCCAAACACCAGCCATRGCATTGTCAAAKATTTCATTTTCTTCAAGCAAACCCATTCCTGAGAGGCAAAAGCACAAAGGTTATTTCGTATGTGGGATTCCTGTGTTTGCTTTGACAGAGTTGAGTCTGGGAGGTCTTTTAGTGTAGTTCCAGAAACTCGTACCCAGAGCCCTCGTAACTTTTGAAAAGTGTYGAAGAACGAGGGCTCTGGGATATAATCTCACTTTTTAAACTACAGGGTATTTTACTGAAAATATACAAACCTTCGTTGTAAACAAGCACGCCTCCATTTTGTCCTCCCCAAATTTTGTTTCTTCTAATGAGAGGGTTACTGTTAGACCTAAAATCAAATTTACAATGTTTAGCTTCATACTAGATAACAATTCCTTTTACCACACTATAAGAAAACTCCTTGTGCTGGGAATTCTAACATTGAACGCTGATTAAAGTGTGTCAATAACAAGATATTTACAATTTGCTGACATTGTCATGTTTCGCGCGCTCACTCAAAAGAAGACTGACTTTATGCATTTCTTAGCCGCATATTCTTAGCTAAAAATGTTTATTKACATACTCTTGACGTCATAAAATGTTGAAAGTTTTGTTGCGTAATAGTTGGTCAATTTGGGTTTTATTATTAGTAACCAACAGAGTTTCAATAAGAGGACACTGCGCAAAATACCAATGAAAATAAAGACAGGCGGATAAAGAAATTTCAACCTACAACTCACCGTATTTGAATTCCTGAGTATTTATGATTAAAAATATCATTGTCTTCCAGAGTACCACAACCACCRTCATAGAAATACACTCCAACCTGTTGAACAGAAATGAAATTTAAGTCTTCACACTGCAACCTTTCTTCCCGTCAGCGTCAGTGCATTCTCTTACCCAATCCCTACCCTCGATAGGAAGCTCTGGGAAACCTGTAAATTTTAAGCTCCGTGATTGGCTGAAGCGCCAGAAAGCGCTATGAAAACCGAAAAATTTAGTTGAGTATTTCAGTCGCGTACGAAATCCCGACGCTTGAAAAGTGAGCTTAGGTTTCCAAGAGCGTATTATTGAATTTCAAAAGATCTGGGTTTGGATACGAAAACAGCTAGCAGTTCTATTAGTTTATGAAAATGTGATGATCACTAAATTAACTCTACAAAAARTCGTTTAAATTAAAGTTTAAATGATGAAAAAGCGTGAAAGTTTATCAATAAAGAAAAAGAACGGAAGATATTGAGTTTTAAGTTTATAAGTGACGATAAAATAGTTTAGCTTAAGGTGTTTTAGAGTGTTTTTAAGCTTAGGTTACAGTGTTTTGGTGTTTATATTGTGTTATATTGTGTTAATTGAGTTTTAGTTTTAAACTTTAAATAAAAAAAGTTTTCGTAATAACTAACATTTGTTTATGTTCGACGTCCTGTCGAGTCTTTGTTGTTCTTTAGATTCTGAAAAGTAATTTAGAAAACAATTAGGACAGCACGACTGAGCATGCGTAGAGCACCATGGAAACTTGAGTGCAGTAATTATAGTCAAAATGCTGTCGCTCTTTCTTTGTTAAAATTTATCTTAGACAACTTCACCGTCATGTTTAACTTTTTCGTGTTAAAAATGCATCCGGATTAATCAAAAACTTTTGTATTCAAYTTGACGCCTACTTTGTCCCAATATAAACTACGTTTTGCCGTCATTCTTGAACTTYAAAGTATCGAGGTATCATGTAATATTCATTGAATGTCTACCAAAAGTTACTGTTCACGCAAATTTTTTCCGAGATTACATTAAAAGTGAAAGTGCTGGTTATGAAGTGCGCATGCTTAAAATCATCACGTGATGTGCAYAGCAAGTGAAAAATGAGGTCACGYATTACTTAGAAAGCGAGAGTTTTGTAAAAGTAAAATTACATTAATTGGTCACGTGACCTTATATCTGTCCTAAATCAGGCTTTCTAGAAAAGAAACAAGAAAACGAAAGTGATGTTGACAACTACTTTGAAGACTGAATATTTCAATTTCATATTWSAYTGATCTCAAAGATCTATCACGACCTCCAACATWAGATCAAATTTTRCTTGATGTAGCTGCCTGATTTTGTGAGACATACSGTCACGTGACCTATAATTACAAATCGTCTAAGAGTTTAGAGTTTATGTGATTCGAAGGTTTAGGTTAGTTTTAGTCTTATTATTTTGATTATTTACACGAAAACAAGGTATTAAATATTCATGGTTTAAATGCGTTTAGTGTAGAGCAATGACATAAGCACGTGAGACGTATCGTCGAGCAATGGTTTAAGTTCATATATACTAAAACGCGTTTATTAAGCCAATGAAATCAAAATTAAATCAAACCTGTTTGCCACTGTGTATTCTGTTATATCGTAATGTTGGTGAACTTCCTAGAAATACAGAAATGATTTGGCGACTCTTTAACGCTATCAAGTGTATGGGTTCGATTTTCTCTTATTTTGGGCTTCCTTTGTCGACACAAAAAYATGACCGAGAGGAGGCAAGTGAAAGGAGGACTGGTAAAGGTGAAGAGGAGGAAAATGACGTCAAAGCCCAGTCTCTACCCATCTTTTTTTAACAGAAAAACCGGCGAGCAATAAATGTTTGGCTACCTGTGGTTATCCAAACACCCGCTAACGTATTGCTGAATATTTCGTTCTCCTCTATGAGTCCTTGGCCTCCTTCGTGCTGTGGGAAATCAAAGGCATAAATGTAAGAAATTGGGCTTTCTTTTACGGAGAATTGTGCACGATGACAATGCATTCTGATAACGACCCATATGAGATTACGTCATAAATTCTTTAAAAGCCATTTTAAATTATAGTGAGATTGACAGGAGTGGCAGGAGATTGACAGGAGTGGCGGGAGATTGACAGGAGTGGCAGGAGATTGACAGGAGTGGTATACTTACAATGTAAATCCCGCCATGAAGACCACTGTGGATTCTATTACATCGTACTATTGGGTTACTTTTAGTACGTATTTGAATTCCAGCCAAGGCATTATCTAAAAATAATAATAATAGTATTACATATAGAATAGTCATGGCACGCATAGAGTTTATAGTTCAGTAAAATTATATAAGATAAAGATAAAAGCTTGAGGATGGGCGCACATACCATGAATATTGTTGCTTTCTATCAGACCTCGTCCTTCGCCAAAAACGTAAACACCTGAAGAACGTAAATCAGACCATTAATACTTATTATGGCAAATAATGAATAAAAAAAACTAAAGTTATAGTAAAAATGTCAAGAAAACACAAAAAATAAACATATCAAGCAACATACCTCCTTGTTGACCATCAAATATTTCGTTATTTCTGTGAAAAGAGAATATACGAGAACGGTCAGTGCATCTAGAAACATGGTTTTAAACGACTAACACCTAATTAAGTTGCTCATCTCGCATTTTTATTTAAACAAAGATTGGTCCAGGACCCCAATCCTCCTAAAATCTATACATACATTAAGAAYAGTGATTGAATTCAATTCTTTTTTTAAAATTACCAACCCAACCCTTAAATGAGAGAAACACTTTTTTCAATTCACACTGAAAACTGAAATGCCTGGATAAAATCAACACATAAACGTGTCGTTTATTCGATTAAATGCGGCATTAATTATGACTTTATTTCATTTTCACACACTGTTTGTACATCATTTTCTTGAACTATTGCAATACGTACTTAATTGTTGGATTACTTTGCGAGGTGATCCAGATCCCAGCGTACTTATTTGAGTAGATCTTGTTTTCCAAGAATTCTCCTCGTGCCTAAAAAAGACAAGAAAAAAGAATGAATATCAACCATGGCGCGCTGTCTCAATTCTTGAAAGTGGATGGCTAGAATGTAAAGCGTCCCTTGCGCTTTTCAGTCTGCGCATTCCGGTGGAAACCAAAGTTTTCTACTTACGTCATCATGACAATATATGCCTCCAGTCATGCCATGATGAATCAAACAGCCCACCACGGTAGGATTTGCCCATGAACGAACCTCAAGACCAGCGATGCGGTTATGGTGAATGTCGTTCTTTTCATAGTAACCCTGGAAAATACAACAKTTACCGTAAAACTAAAKAAAATATYCATAAACGCAACAGCAAACAACAAAACAAAAACGAAAAACAGCCTTCCTTTAAGTCAAACCTTAATTAGAAGAGGCAAATTGTGTAGTCACACCACTTACCAGGCCTTGATCAAATATGAAAAATCCTACATCTCTACCATGATGAACGTGGTTGCGTCTCATGATTGGATTAGCATGGCTTCTCACCCACACTCCAGCTAGTTTAGTATTTGTAATCTCACAGTCTTCATACAAACCCTGAAGAAATCAGAAACATCACAATGAAATAATATGCAATGCGTTGATATTAAAACAGGATATAAAATGGAGTAATGCACCGGCATTTCCTGTCTCTTAAGGACAAAATGGAGGTTACACAAATACATTATTTTCCTAATTATCGTGCCTTCCTATAGATTGATTCTGTTTTCCTTGTCTCACCCTGAGCTTAATTGGGGTTAATTGACAGATGTATATAACTATGCTAGGATTTATAGAGAGTGTTGCGTGCAAAACACTCAGTTTGCTGAAGAAGGTCGAAGTGCCGAAACGTCCAATAAACAGAGTTATTATAGCTTCAAGTTGGTGTTTTGTTCTATTTCATTCTATTTATAACTAGAGTTACATGTATGTTTAAGTGTGAAATGTGTCCAACCAACCTGAGCTCCATCAGTCACAAAAATTCCCACATTCTCAGAATCTGATATCACACAGTTTGACACAACAGGTCTTGCAGTTTTTCCATGCACATACACTGTAGCTCCAGCTAAAAAAGCACAAAGGAAAACAGACATTAATGTTAATCTCATTGTAACACCATACAAATAGTAACATGTATGTAGCATTAACATACATTGTAAGTTTTGTAAGATTACAAATGGAACAACATTTCAGACTACATCTATTACCCATAATACAAAATTTACAAAGAAAACTTACATAAGAAATACAAGAAAAACAAATAGAATGGATTTAGTTATTCAGGAAAAACAGATTGAACATACATAATTTCGTGCAATTATTACCATGTGATAGACTTGTAAGTCTGCAATTGAATATCACYGGTGAACATTCACCACTGATTTCCAAACATCCATGTTTGCTGTACTGTGAAGATTGGTTRACWGTGTGCTRRAAACAAACCAATAAATAATCCATTCATTATAAATGATGCCCCAAACACTCGAATGTATAAGTTAGATGTCTTCAACATTTTAGATTTGAGAAATACATTGAAAATGCATCCCAGTAAATGTCCTTGAATATATAAGTACAGTTAGGAATGGATGAAAATTTGTCCAGCTCAAGTTTAGAAGAATGATTGTATCAATATTGTCAGTCTTGTTTTTCAATTACTCTCCATCCATTAGTGCATTTACATCAGAGGATTAAGACAAGCAACCTTTTTTACAAAATATAAAATTAATCTCACTATTTAAAGCAAAAGGCTTAGTTGACAGGCCATGTCTTAGCACTTCAAAACAAATTTAACCATCTGCCAATCTAAGTATGCGCTATTTCTCAAATAATTTATATGAATATTATAACACCAAAGCACAAACAATGAATGCACTGAATACCTTGACAGTCAAGTGACCAAGAAGAGCACCGCTTGATCCAGATTCAAAATTGACAGTGGTTACAACAGAGCTCTCTATGGTTACTGCATTAATGTCGCCAAATGAAACCCCAATGATAAAAACAGGCTTATTGATAACCAAACTTTCTTTGTAAGTCCCAGCATGTACTAGAATGAAGCCATTAGCAGGAACACTGTCTATGGCATCTTGTACCGTCTTATGATGCTGCAAACAAAATGAAATTGCTTTATTAAAAAATACCTGGAATTGTAGGATGGAAGTGGGATGGAATAATGACAGAAGTACAGAATGAAGGCCCACTGAAACGATTTTATTCAAATTTCTTTGATTGCTATGTTGAATTTTTTTTAACAKAAAAAAAAGAATCAGTAATGAGAGCTAACAACTTTGAACTTTTGTTGGTTTTCTTTTTTATTTTTCTTTTTATTTTTTTGCAATCATGAAAAGGAACCAAAATCATTTAAAGTGCTAATGAGCTCTGCCTCTTTCACAGAATATCCAAATAAAATATACGAAATATCAATATAATGTCAAAAATTGTCTAATTAAGAAAATATGGTCACAAAATACCATACTAAGGTTAACAGAAAAACATCTTATCAAAAGCTATAATTATAATCCAGTATGTGGGAAGACAATTTCAAGATATTTCATTGTTTGAATAACATCAACAAGGTGCAAGCCATAATATAGCATCGAATATYAATTTTGAACAGTCTTTTATTGTTACATCATCTAGCATTAGTATGCTAAAAACATATTCCCTTATGTGGTTTATATCTTGTTGATATTTTGTTCAAAATTTTCAAAATGATAAAAACACAAAAATACCTCTATATTACATGAAATATCTAAAACGAATTTGGTACAAAAGGATTTGGCACCAAAAGAGGTGATTTAGACAGCTTATTCTTGTAAGGAATGTCACATGTATTTTGAAGTTCACACGTTAATACTTAATTTCTATTCTTCTAAACTATATGTATGCAAATAACGTCAACAATGAGTTCACCTGTAACCTACCAATATATTGTTCTCTTGAAAGCAATTATTCTGGTAAACATGATGAGAATTGTGGAGCATTTTGAAACTCTCTTTCCATGAAAGTGTTCCAATTGAATCTTGGCTAACAATAAGTCCTTCCTCTGTCCTTCTCAAAGGCTTTCTCATATCAAAAACTCTTGAATAAAGCTGTTTCCTGTTATAAATTTGCCACAAAAATGCATCAGATCACTGACTACAAGAAAATAAAATTCAATATCTGCACAAAAGCTGCTTACCATAGTGTCTCATCTTGACAGATGGTAGCGAATCTTGTACACACTTGAGAAACTCTACAAAGATCATCAGCTTGAAGAAATGAGAAAATCTGGAGCAGGAGTTCATCTGGGGCTGCTTTTACATGGCAGTATCCTGAATAAGACAAGAAATAGCCATTGGATTTCATGTTATTCTTTTCTAGCTCTCTCTGAAGATAAGACTCAAAAGGTCACTTATCAAATACACCTGCCAATGCATATTTAGAAAAATTAATGAAATTTTACCATGCAGTGCACAGTATATTTAAAGCTATATTTTCGTCAMAGTAGTTTGCATTTCTTCTATGTAAATACTCCTGGTAATTATTTCACAGAGTTATTTTCTCAAACCACAGCAAAGCAAATAATTATTAAAGGTTTGGGTGTGGTTAGGCCAAAAGGGTTTGGGGGTTTGACAATTTAAATCCACACACTAGCTACTCTACTGTATTTTACACTAGGTCAGTATACTTTCTTCAAAACTACTGTTCCAACGGCTGCTATAAAGCTAAATTATAAATCATGAATATTAATTAACGATGTAAACATTTAAAAATGATCGTATGTTTTAATCACCATATTTTTTTTATTAATGCTTCATTTGCTAAAACCATTTCGTCACCAACGCGTGACAATTCAATAAAAGCCACTGAACTCGTGGCTTTTTAAAGCCATCGTTTAAACATGAAAGAACACGAAAACGTGCGAGGTGAAAGAGAGTTAATGTACCGTAACATGTCACTGCCCAAGCACAACGCCACAAAGAAAATGGTGCGCAGATACAAACCACACAAAAAATAAACTTTGTAACTTAGCCGGAAGAAGAGCGAATGCAAGCAAAAATTATATAGGATTGACATGATTTTTAGGATTATTCCGTTTTCGCAAACCCGGTCTCTTTAAAACGAAAAACGAAGTCCAACTAATCGTGACAGAGGCACGTGGACTGCATTGAAAACAGAAACAAAAGAGACGGAGCTCAGACAAAGCGACTCAACAACGAGCAGTCTCGAAAACTCAACAAAATATAAAATAAAGTCCACATCAATGACTTACCATTCGATGGTTTACAACGGGGGAAATGTGCAGTTATTTTGTTAGCTTTGACTTCAAATGATTTCTTCAAGTTGTGTGTCTTTTTGAGAGTTGGTTGTTGTGGGTCACTATACAACAAAGAATAGTACATCTAGTCAGACGTCTTCAATAAATTACAGAAAATTCCGTATAAAGCAACAACGATTTGTGATATTTTACTGCAAAATACGAAAATAAAACACRCCTGAGATGTGTCTGTCAAAATTCACAGAGGATGGCAATATTGAAAGCGAATGGAAATTTGTCGACCTTATAAATAAATGTAATTCGTACTTTGTAACCGTGTGGACTTTACTTACCCGAACGCAGTTTTACGAACATTTCTCGGAGATCGATCACAAGGCTTCTTGGCGTTTTTACTTTGAAGACGCTTAGAGATACGTTCTTTTTTCTTTGGTCCTACAATGAKAAAAGAAAAAGGATAAAATCCTGTTTGCAGGTCTAAACAAAGACCAAAGAACGTTGTAAGCTTAGGGAAAAACACGAAACATCGCGACATTTGAAACTTACCATTGTCGCATTTAGACGTCTTTGTAGATGCAGATCTTGTTTTTGTAGCTCTATAAAAATCGGTACAGACTCTAGCTCTTTTTACAGGAGAAGACATGGTAAAAACATCGAGAGAAGATCTCTTTTTTACGGAGACAGCTGTTTAGCTTTGTCTACGATAAAATACGAATGTTTTGATTCGCATGAAACTGACGATAYTCTTTCATGGCCTGTCGTCCAATCACRACGCTGGAAAAAACAATAGACTTTCGAACTGACCAATCACAAGCTAGAGTTTGTGTATGCAGAAGCCGCAAAATTCGAAAAGCCAGGTGTCCACATTTGTTGTTTGAGGTAGTTGAAAAGGCAAATCATYCCAACTGAATTGACAGAATTAAGGAAATGCGTTATGTTTGAGCTACAAAAAGACAKTTCTGAACAAAAATCCACATAATTAGGAGACAGAAATAAGTCTGTCAAACTAAAAAAAAAATAACTATTGCACAAAATCGATTAAATAAAGTGTATATTTTTTGTCAGCTCAAAAAATAGTAGTAGACATGTGAATTGAAATAATAATCAACAAATAGAAAATATGTAAATCCTGCAATAAATGAACCAGACAAGGCTAGAATTAGAAAAGGCAAGYATTGGCAAATTTATTGAAMRTATAACTATTTCATACTATAGATTTCAAACAACTTTCTCTCAAAACTTGAAAACAATGACTTATGCTGTTCTTTTCATAGACATTCTAGGTGAGATATAATGCTAGCAATATTAAACACAATAGATTCAAGYCTGTACACTACCATTTCAAAAGCATTAAAAATATGGTGATTTTAAGTAAAYGCTTAAGTATGAGTTGATTGTAGAGATGGATTGCTTGTTATTTCAGTCAAGAGGTTGTCAAGCTGTAAATTCAAACTCTGATTATTCAACTCACGAAAAGCTTCATCGCACATGATTAWACGTGCACAACTGCATATCATGTCCAARTCATATTTACAATAGTACTTTACATTACATTGCTGTCTTGTTGTGATGGCTTCTAACCATTCATCAAACATTGAATCTTGCAGTGRGCGTGTKGAATATTTAAGAAAGTCAAGTCTTGGCCTTGCTATTGTTGTTAGAAAAGCAATGAAGTCTTYGAAGTCCATTCCAGACAATGCTTTCAGCATTACCTGAAACGCAACAACTACTATTTATCAAAAGTATCATTGTCCACTTTTCATCAATTTACTGGTTATATTCATATGAATATATATGTTTTACAAAGTTTTAATGAAAGACAAGAGTTACAATCTTTGTTTTCAACTTTATATTGAAAGCAAAAGKTATCACCTCATGTCTCTGAGTTTTTTTTAGGCTTGATCTTGATGGTGGGGGAGGGGTGGGTAAGGAAAGAGGGGTTTTTCTGAGGGGAAATGGAAGGAAGGGGAAGAATTTTTCCTGAGTTTTCACTAAAAATTTGAAATAAARTCACTTGATTAAATTTTGACAAGAAGTGACTTATATTCAATACTCCCATCAAACTAAGCAAAACTACCATATTTTATAAACATTGCTTCTGAACAGCCATAACTACCCTGTTGAGTACTATCATTTTTTCATGACACAACCAGAAATTTTTTGATACTACTGACCTGGCAATGACTATGCCAATTTTCCATGTCTTTACAGTCTTGAATGCTTAATTGGACCTTTTTTATACAAGACAACCCAATATCATATGCAAATCAATGGACATTCTTCAAAAGGTATTAAAAACTAAAAAAATATTATTATCCTCTTTACTAATTAAGTGTATTACCATGAGATAACAACTGCAAAACACATGAAGACCAAAATACACTTGTTTATAATTAATCCTATTTCAGACATAAACTAATAATGCAATCACGTGTTTTGTTTTTGCTTTTCTATCATATGCATTCTGCCTAGTATTAAGTTCCAAACTTATTTTCAAACTTAGTAACTTAGTGAGCAGTTCCTGCTTTTTCCCAGGACAACACAATTTACAGTACTGTCTTGATAAGATACAATGTAGTTGTACAATATGCAAACCTGTTTCAGTTCACGCTGCAGATGTTCCCACATACGTAACACACCACAKGCATTTGTCCAGTTGTGATTAATAGATATTGTATTTTCCTAAAAACAAAATAAAGTGATATTGTTTATACAACAGGCACCTATTCAATTTCATGATAAAACTTTATCTAAATGTCAGATGTTTACTTTTTCAGCATTACACATCTACTATTTTGAAATAACACAGAATATTTGTTCTAGAGAGGGGCATTAGAACATTGAACACTATAAAAAGTAAATAAAAAAGTATACAAAAAGTATATAAAAGTATAAAAGTACTGTAAAATAATTCAATAAACCACTACTAACATCACTGCACGTAATGTGAAAATAAAACACTGAAAAGTTTTGATATGTCTTTTCGTTAAGAAACTGCAATATCACAAGTGTACATAAAAACCAATCAAATTATTCTGCACTAGACATCACCATTTTGACATAAATTATCATTTTTTACTTACAAGATTGTGAACTTGATGGTGCCAGCCACTACAACAGGAAAATATTTGATCAAAGAAAGAAAACATTTCAGYAATGGACTAGAGTGTTATTACTTACCTTGGTACAAATATCACTTCTCCCTCCTTCTGTACAACTACAATTGGCTTTTGTGCCTGTTTCACTYTAGGGTATTTGCTTGCATCCTCAGCCTCTGTAGATGTCACATCATAGATAAGATTCCCTAGTGTGTCATGTAAATAGTCCTCTTGACCCGGTGGATAAAGGATCCATTTCTTGCAGCCACATATGTTTGCTGACCAACTGTAAGATCTTGCCATTTGAAAAGTAACATAATGCATGAGAAATAGGAGATGTCAWGGATGTAATGCTTTTCTGCTTGTCTCAACTTTACATGTATAACCAATATTTAGCTGTGTTTTGTTTGATTTTTTAAAACATTTCAAGAACAAACACTTATACTTGTACATGTACATACATGCAGTATATAATGATATTCTTAGAACTATAATTTTTTCATATTAAATCACCTGAAGACATCTGCATGAAATGGTGTCCTTAAAAAAATAACAAATAAAATACTAATTCAGTTTATTACTACATTATTTCCATTGAATGGTATTAATGTTGCATTTACAGCTCTAATTTATTCAATAACTATATGAGAGGTTTCAGCTGAAAAGGGGTCTTATTCATAAATATTTTGCTTTRGACTAYATRTAAAACTGTTGCGTCATCAAAGGGGTCTTAATCTTTAAGACCCTTTTTAAGTTGCAACCCCTCATATATTAGTAACAAAATAAGAATAATTTAATGTATTGCAATATCCATTGTCATCCAGCTTCCTCATGTAACTCCATCCATTTAAAAATCACAAAAGAATCGCATTTTAAAATAAGKATAAGGATCAAGGTTAAAAGTGTGCGTAAAGACAACATGCTAAATGTCATCCACTTACCATGAACCTTTAGGTCCAAAGTAAACAAATCTGTAGTCATCAGACACWTCACTACACTGGTCCCAGTATTCATTCAGCCAATCAGATTTAAAATATATAGGRATGTCATAAGCGCTATAGTCTGGAAAAGCCCTACAGCAAAGTACAAGTACAGTGTGATTAAATTTTATATTGATAACCAATAAATCAAAAATTACTCTTGACTTACTTACAAAAATGCCAATCCTTCAAATATAAACAATCATGAGAACCTGTGAACACAACAGACAATKAATTAACTTTCAATATGAATGAACTTTGACACAAAATACAAAGAAATTGTCATCCTCTAGTTCTGTCTTAGTTCCAAAATCATCCTACAACATGTACAGAGAATTGGAATAAACGATTAAAATGGAAGTGCAGCAATTCACATATTCTGAGCTTGGAAAAGGATTATAATGCACTGGGATTGRATTTACAAAAATATGAAAAATAGAAAATGGGAATGGGATTGAAATTTGAGCAAAACARTGAGAAYATGAGAAATTTGACCATGGGATTTCTGGTTTAAATTTAGAATGGGAAGTGGAATTTAGATTKCCTATTCAGTACCCTATGAATGATAAAATTATACAACAGTTGATATGATTTTCAACATACTTTGATCATCTTTCTTCTTTAGGTAAGCTAAGAACTCTGTAAGTGTCATGTCATCTTTTGCTTGGCTGCTGAAATATCTTTTACTACAGTTTGCAACAGGGACAACAGCAGCTCCTGAAAGTCAAAGATAACTAAGTTAATTGTTTTTACAAATCATGTTTCACAAAAACACACTTACCAATACAATAACGAAAACTGTCAAAATATGGGTGCCATGAAATTGGATAATAATTGGGTATTTTTATCAATATCTAAAATATTTTCATAATAAAATGCACTACAAATTATTGTAATATTCAATATATATTCCTTACCAAAACTTTCTTCTAGAAAATCGTAGTTTGGTGTGCCATYTGACACCCACTCCGATCTACTTCTCCATTTCTTGGTCAATTCACTAGAAAACACACAAAGCCTGTTCTTCAGAAGATAGTCCTTAAAGAAATCATCATATCCAATTTCTCCGATTCGTTCTAACGTATCGTTATCATCGTCAAACATTGCTTTAAAGTTTGAAATTTTTCGGCATTTTTGCGCACTTTTCATCCGCCATGTTGTCTGCGCAGAKRTATATCAGATTGYACGCATAGAAATGTGGGTGTAGCTGCTCATAGCAATAYTGCGGGCGCAATGTAAGAGACACGGAGCCGATGTCATCAACATGGAAGGCTGTCCTCGGTCTTCTATGTTAAGTATTGACTTAAAAGATTCAATACCTGCCGAATTTACCGATTCAWTAAAGAAAGTAAGTGATRKAAATYATTCTGGGAAYATTTGGTCAGTGAACAYTGTCGCGTTTTACGGGAAAGACGATTTTTCTTCGAAGATTTTTTTCGCACGATTGATTTTTATCATCTAATCTGTTTATGTTTTTAGTACATAACTGATCATTACCAAGAGGATCCTGAAAATTATAAACATGAGTGTCAACAAATCGAGCAGCTTAGATCGGTAAGAAATTGTTTTCGTAGTGGTTATCGCATCTTCGTATAAGGATAATGCTAGCGTTCATCAAAGCTTGTAATAGATCACGTCATTGACCGCTTTTAGACAGTTTACATGGCAGTGATTAATGTCATTACCATTTAATATTGTCCAAAAAAGAAAATTTTAGTTGATTTTGCAAATGCCCATTCCACATCAATAGTTTGAAATTTAAGAACCATAATATTTTAGTTTTTTATTCATTTATTCGATAAGCTTACTTAGAGTGGCTAGACTTTACCTCCATGCAGCATACACCAACCTAGTGGAGTAAGCTAGTGAGGCAGTTGCTGAAGATGGTCATGGCTGAAAGACATAATAGAAAGGAAGAAAAAAGGCTGGAACATTTCATCAATAACAATAATTGTTATATATAAGACCCCCTGAGATCACCACCTACTTGCCAACTGTACATTATAATTCCTTCTCTTTATAGTCAATAACATTCAATGATCAATAAGGGGTCATTGTATTGCACTYTCAAATTCTTATCTATTGCACATGTCTGTCGTAAGGGAACATTATACTAAATAAGTTCACAATTCCTAGGCTTGCCTTCATCCTGGACATGACCATTCTGGATGTAGTACACTTCGAAGGTATTTTTCACAGCTGCAGTATCTACAATCAAGATTCCCAATGGTTGATGGTGGAGCAGTTTCAGTACAATTTACTTGGTAACTACATTTGAAGCAAAATTAACACTRCTATAATTCATTGTAGACAAGCTGAATATTCAGACAAACATTACCAGTAATTTATTGTTAATCGAAACACATGTTGTCTAAAATACCTCTTTCACTTCTGTTTTTTTCCATTAACAGGACAGACCTTTATTCAGAAGAATCTATAGCATTAGCTGATGTACGATTTGAGCAGGCGGCAATACTTCATAACTTAGGTGAGCTTTCTCATAATTATGAAAAATCATGTACGTAATAGGTGAATAACAAAAGAACTGAAAAKACAGCACTTCAATAACTTCTAGTTGTATAAAAAGTAGCCCATTGTAACTAAAAATTAAAATGGCTATTTTTCATGAATATCATCATATACCATACAGTGTGGACATGTATGACTGTTTTGCATTGTCGTCTTGACAGTTTTATKCATGTTCTTGTAGGAGCTTTACATTCTCAGCTTGGTGCACAAGAAGATAGGACTGGTGAAGAGGCATGTCATAATATAAAACTAGTATCTACAATTAATAAGATAATGCTCCATGCGATACATAATTTAGTAAAATATATTATTTCACTTGCTTGTACCATGTGTCATGTCATGACTAAAATTTTTATTTTTTTGCAAGCTGTATTTTTAATGAGTATAATTCTTGTTTTTGTCTCAAAGATTAGTATTCTATTCATTTAAAAACAAGACAAGCTTTATATGTCAGGATGTTCATTAATTCAAAACAAAAAGTTTTACTTTTTTGCTTATAGATAAGATTGTTACCATTTTAATTCAATAATATTAAAAACAAAATAGGTCAAGTGATATTCATCATGAACCTATCTGATATTTTACATCGTAAAATTCTATATAACTTCCATTTTTCGTGAATATCAGTATAATAGCATAATCTATTGGCATTATTATAGTTATTAACAAAATATAACGTTATATAATATATATTTTTTCTTGTAGGGAATGAAAGTTGCTTGTACCCATTTTCAAGCAGCTGCTGGCATCTTTCAATATCTGAAGGTTAGTCACTTATAATTCATCTAAATTCAAATAATGTCAATGTTTGTACTGTTAGATATATATACATAAAATTTCAAAAATGTTGTCATAGAAAAATATCTTGGTAAAAAGGCTGAACAATTTTGTCTATTTAATGTACTTCTTTTTACTAAATACAAATGTTCTGTTTCTTTATTTTAACATTGTATGATGTCTGAATGTAAAATAGATTGACAGAAAGATAGCCAAAAAAATGAATGCAAGAACATAAGCTCAAGGGCGCTAGAACTGAAATTATGACCTATAAGATCCAAAAATTGCTTAATTTATCCAACAAAAGATAGYCGATAATAAAKTRTAAAGTTYTACTTATCTGAAATATACACTGAAATGTCCTCTTAGACACTAAAAAGCACTTGATTTTACGAAATTCATCCATGCAAATGATCGTTGCTCAAACTCTTAAGCGGTTGTTGCTGAATTTATTACCGCTGTCCTTGTTGTACCAGCCACTGCTGTCTCGCCAGGAACGTTATTCATTAACCGGATTAAAATCACTTTGCCCTGGCCGAACACCAAAAGAGACAGGGGCAGGCAATAACTAGCAGCCCCTTTGACCACTCGTCTGACTCACTAATCGGATTAAGTTGACAGGACCTAGGGACACTGATGACAGATTAGTCCTGGCCGAGCGAGTCTTCGTAGGCCGAATGTGACCTCGTCAGAGGTCGGGATTTGAACTAAAACGCTCTCGTCTTGAGGATGGTCAAAACTATCGCCATTTAAATGGACAAAGTGTCTGGCCGAAATCTAAGTTCAAGTCCATTTGGAAGAAACTGAAATGAAAGCTAAATGTTAGTCGTAAAGCACGATTCACAAACAAGTTTATGCGACTGACACTTTGAATATAATGCTGCTTAACAAGCTTTAAAACTGTTTCTATTTCTCAATTCAATGTTTTTAACACGAATTCAACACACTCACATTTTAGTTTCATAAGTAACAAAAATTATTGACGAGCGCTTCGCTCAACTTTTAGATGACTTTCGATTCGAAACCCGACGAGTTATAAAACATCGCGACGGTAGCGTATTTACTATTTCAGGCCTACGAAGACTCGCTCGGCCAGGACTAATCTGTCATCAGTGTCCCTAGGTCCTGTCAACTTAATCCGATTAGTGAGTCAGACGAGTGGTCAAAGGGGCCGCTAGTTATTGCCTGCCCCTGTCTCTTTTGGTGTTCGGCCAGGGCAAAGTGATTTTAATCTGGTTAATGAATAACGTTCCTGGCGAGACAGCAGTGGCTGGTACAACAAGGACAGCGGTAATAAATTCAGCAACAACCGCTTGAGAGTTTGAGCAACGATCATTTGGATGAATTTCGTAAAATCAAGTGCTTTTTAGTGTCTAAGAGGACATTTCAGTGTATATTTCAGATAAGTAAAACTTTATAATTTATTATCGACTATCTTTTGTTGGATAAATTAAGCAATTTTTGGATCTTATAGGTCATAATTTCAGTTCTAGCGCCCTTGATAAGCTCACAGTAAACTATTCTAGATTCCAAAATTCCAATATTGTTATGTATGCATGTGTAATCTTTGTTTTTCTTTTAGAACACTGTGATGGTACCCTTGGCATCAATGAAGCTTCCCTGGGTRTCAGAGGTACATTTCTTCTCTTCTTAGTTAATAACTTTTGTATATTTTGGGGGTATTTCTCTATTTTTATATAGTTATCTTTTTATTGTTGTGAAATTCTTGATTGTTAATCAGACGAATTTGTATTTGTAACCTCAGTATTCCATCTCTTTGTTTTCTTTAAGTGAATATTTGAATCTTGTTTCATAGGATCATTTTGCTGTTCCATTTTTTGACCTGGCCAGCTGTGTTCTGCAACTCTACATCAATATATTACTGGTAAGACGTTGTACACTGTTTTTGTCATACCCATGTTTTTCAGTGTATTCTTGTAGTTTTTAATTAATAAAAGTAATTGCAATAGTCTCCTTCACGGTTACCTGCGCCATCTTGAAAGGTAGCCGTGCCTTTGCATTGAAGCGAGTCGACAGTTGAGCGTACAATGATAGGAACCTTCTTTCACACCTACAGACAATTCTTCACAGGTTTCTATCATTGCACGCTCAACGGTTGTCTCGCTTCGATGCAAAGGCACAGCTACCTTTCAAGATGGCGCAGGTAACCGTGAAGGAGACTATTGACTAACCAGACAAATATGGTTGACCTGCAAGGTTCTTGGGGCCTTACGTTCTTGTGGTCATTTGAATGATTGTTTTTTGACTTGTACATTGTGTAGGGTCAAGCACAAGAATGCCTACTTGAAAAGTCAATTCTTGATGGCCGTAAAGATTCTCTTATCGCAAGAATAAGCATGCAAGTAAGGGCTTTGTAAAAAAATCATCGAATGTGCATTATGTCAATATGGAAACTTTGAACCGTCAGGAAAAAGTTCTGCTTCCTGCATTTATAATACATTTGTAACATAATACAAAGAAGGCTGCTGGAGTGGAGCAAAGGAAAAAGACATAATAATACAATGACATGATTATTTTCTTCTACAACAAGGTTTATGACTATTATCAACAAGCACTGGGGATTCTGGAGTCTTTAGGGTCTTCTTACCTGGGATCCAAAAAATCAAAAGTAAGCCATTTGCATTCATTCATAACTGTCCTTGTTGTTTAAGTATCACATGTATATCAAAGCTGTATTTGAGATATTCATTGCACAAAGATAAGTTTAGTAAATGATATTATGAGTACAATATTTAATTTGTACTTAACTTATAATGTTATCTCATTRTTCTTAGATGTGGACCAAAGCAGTGAAAATCAAAGCTTGTCACTTCACTTGTGTATCATATGTGAGTTTTTATTTATTAACAGTTTTA